AAAGGAACATCTTATTTTATCTTACTATCCACAGTATCAGTGCAACTAAAGTAATTCATGTAGATTTTTTTAATGAATAAAACAGCATTGAATTAATTGATCCAGATTTGTACATATTTATTTAGGTATTTATTGCCTTGTCTGGATGTTGAGTTCAGCTTCTAATTAAGTCAAAGTGGGGCTGTAGTCAAGAAAACCTTGGTCAACCAACATCAAGTGTTATTTCTAACAACATAGCACACACCAATATACATAAAGTCTGCATATGTCCCTCCTGCCCCTGGACATAACAGATTAACAAGCTGTTTCCTCCATATTAAATTAACACCATTGATTGTCAGACTTTGGTCAGATGAGAGCATTTTTAATTTGAAATTTTTTTTAACCAGTTTTGATTATCAAGACAATTCATCGGCTATCAGCTTTTTCCTGTTCCTAACGATCATTATTATATTGTCATTTTACAAGTCCAATATCGGTTGACCTCTAGTGAGGACCAACACCTATGGGGAAATGTGCTTTTACCTTTGGTCCATCCCAACTCAGGAAGTCGTCATTTCTTTGCTTGTTTTCTGTAGCAGTGGTGGATTAACTAACCCACAACTGAAAGAGAAAGAAACGCCCGTGCACTTTGTACAAAGTTACATCATATCAGTAAACACTTTAAGTGGCTTATCAAATATTGATCTTGGCTCACAGTGAAGCCCGAAAGTAGTGTGTAAACTGTAAATTGCCTCAAAACAGTCCAGAGGCATTGAGTCTGAAATATCTCCAGTGTGCTAATCATATGGTTGGTTGAATCATGGGTCTGTATAATACATGTGTGGGGGTCATCTTTCATCATCATTTGATTTCTGTTGATGTAGTTGCACTTCACTTGATTCTTCAGTCATATTTCACCCTTTTTTGTGCACTTTTGCTTTTCTACATTTTGTTCATAATCATTTCAATCCCCCAGGCCTCCCCCCCTCCTCCTCTCACCAAAGGGCTGGGAAGTATGCAGAGCTGAAAGGGTAACAGCCGTGTCTGTTTGCTCTGGGACTGATGTGTGATGCTGTGTTGTGTTATATTCTTTGCATTTGCATATATATATATATTTTTACTTAAACCCTGTAGATAGAAACAGTGTAACCTTGCATGAACGTGCAATGCTGTGTGTGTTTGTGTCAGTGACTAAGTTATGGCCTGGTCCTGCACCGTGCTGCCTGCTGTTGAGTCCAGTGTTTGGGGGACTCTCCTTGAATGCAGAAACTTTTTTTTAACTCTGGCCAGGATATTCAAATCCTCAGGGATGCTTTTCCAAAACCCCCTAAAACAGTTTTTGCTGATCAGAGATCAGATCATATGATTCTGTAAAGCATCATTGTGGTTGCTATGGATACTAGTCTGCAGTGAGTATTGTTTTGGTTGGTGATCAAACTGCTGACTGGAGCTATGTTTGAGGTGTCCCTATAAGGGCTGCAACTAATGATCGTTTTTAATATGGACTAATCTGTTCACTGTTGGACCTGGAAAAGGTTTGAAGTCAAAAACTACTGTGCTGTGTTGGACCAGCTTGCAGTGAGCCAGTGATATAATCTAATTAGCTTGACACCAGCTCAACAAACAGCTCTTGTTAATACTAGTGACTTTCTGGGGATTTTTCACAACAAAGCCAGGCATGAGATTTGTCTCCTGCCCTTATTGTTTTGCCTAGAGCACAGCCTCCATCGTTGGAATGTACTGCGCACATCACAGATCCTGGCGCCATGAGGCTGAATCAGCCAGGTCCACTGTCCAGTGCTGCAGTAAAGGTAGTGGATGTAGTTGGCTGCTAGGCACGGGCGGTATCTAGGTATTTGTACAGGTTCGATTGGCATGAGATGATTCTATGCAGCAAACCAGTGAGGTAAAGGTTAAAAGAGCTGCACCACTTAAAAAATACAATAACAATACACTGTATATCCCCCGGGTAAATGTCAGGGAGGTATTAAAAAAATGCATACTGTCCAAGCCCATTGGCTGCTAGGTTGATGTCTGTCATCTCTCACTCCCTCAAAGCATCTGTTTTAAAGTAGGTTTAAGGGTCAGAGGTCAAAACGTAGAAAAAAATGGTGTGTGTGTGTGTGTTAAAGGCCAGAGGGAAGAGGAGTTTGAAGGCGGTGCACAGCAGCCCTTACATAAGACTCCAGAGGAGCTGCTCAGGCTGAACAATGTGTTCTGAGCGTCACTGAGTAGAGTTTTCCGTTTGTCTTAAAGACTGCGCGTGTGTGAATTACCGTGGTCATAAGAGAATGGAGTGTATAGAGGAACAAAGCGGTATGTTATTGTATGGTTTTTATATTTTTCCACAACTGTCTTCTATTTTGGTGGGGGGGGTCTGCATGTGTGTGGGGTTGTTGGATGGCTTTTCTTTGTGTTAGCTTGTGTGTAAGATGTGTCCATACATACAGGTTTGTAAGGGTATTGTAATGGTTACACTTGATATGCGCTACTGTGCTCTAAAAGCAGTGGAGCCTAAGCTAGAAGCCGGTGTGCTCATAAACACAACTCCTCCGTGTCCGTGCTAACATCGATTCGATGGCTAAGGAAAGACTGAGAGCAGGATGCACCGCCACTAACCAGGGTCGAGTGCGTGGTGTTCAAGTGGTACATCATTTGAGTCGTGGCCGTGGTTGTACTTATACACAGCTCGCAGTGTTGGCAGTGAACTAATGTCATTGTTTAAATCAAATGGTCACCCACACCACACTTCGCTGTTGACCTCGTCCTCTCCTCTTCATGATTACTTTTGAAATACATGGAAACTCGCAGGTAACTGAGTAGGCCTGTGGCGTTTTTTTTCAAATATTGCCCCCGTGTGGTAAAATGTTTAATTGCTGCCACATAGCGAAATTCATTGCATTCCTGAAGACTCACGCTACGCAACAGAACCTGCATTAGTTTTATCGATCAAAAATTAACGTCATTGACAAAATTCTTAATGATCAATTAATCATGCCCATCCCTACTCGTTGGTTCATCTATTTGTATGTATTGTTTGCCGGCTTGAGTCCAGTCTGTTAGAATTGTAAATGTGTTTGGAGAACAAGAACTCCCTACTCTTATTCACTGTCCACTTCACTTCAAGTGCTAATTCAAATTGCAATGACCTGAATGTGTGACCCAGAATTTCTTGCTGTGTCAGATATGCCACCATACAGGTATCGTCTTTAGTAACAGTGTCAGCCCTGGGGTGTCTTTTAGTAGCTAAAATAACACTGCCATAGCATGTGGCAGACTCAGGATCTCAGTTTTGAGCCTCTCACTATTCTGTTTACAACAGATGGTACTAGAGTTTTATTTTATTCTGCTGAACACTGACATTGCTGCACTTTTTAATAAATCCGGTATCCCATATATGTATACAATACAATATTATGAATATTGTTATATGGCCTTGTGCAATATGTAAATTGCAGAAGCTGAAAATGTTTGATAAAGGTAAAATGTGTTACAAAACAGCATTATAATAAAGCACTGTAGTTCTGCACAGATCCCCTGGCCTAAATTGTGTTCCACAGATTTAAGAAAACCGTAATAGTACAGACCACAACAAATTCACATCATCACAATATTAATAGTTGTTTCAGTTACAATTGCAATATGGTGTTTTTACCATATCGTGCAGCCTTTATTTTAACATGCAAACTTATTTACATATATTGCCAGTCCCCAATGCCTACAGCTGTATGTGTGGTCACTGGTAAAACTGCTACTTGACACTTACCCATAATTTTGCAAGTTAAAGAGGGACATGTTTAGAAAGCAATTGAGTTATTTTTTATTCTGACAGTAATCGTCAGAATGTTTTGTTGCTGCTTTTTTACCTCATAAAAACTTGAAAAAACTCAGATGAGCTATAGCTTCTTTTTAAAAAAAAAAAAAATAAAGTATACAAATTGAAAACTCCTAGCAGGAATGTTCCGATAAATTTAAAGGACAATTAAACACTCGCAGCAACTTCCCCTGGGCTTTTTGTCAGTTTGGATTCTGACCAACCAGGAAGTGGTACCTAGATCAGTTATTGGTATCCATTCCTAACCTACAGGCCCAGTGATGTCTTGCGAGATAATCCTGTGCAATATTTCAACTCTACTCAGTTATTTTTATGTTTAGAGTTACAGGGATAAGTGATTAACTGGCAACTGTTGAAATAATCTATTAATTTAAGTAATTTTTAAGGAAACTTAAATGTGAGAATCCCCTGTTCTTACATTACAGTAAATTTGATAGTTTGAGGGTTTGCGCAGTTGGTCGGACAAAACAAGACATTTAATGATGTCACCATGTGCTCTAGCAGATTGTGATGGATATTTTTCAGTGTTCGGATGTTTTGTAGACCAGAAGATTAAATGATAAACCTAGAAAAGAATCTGCAGATTAATCGAAAATGAAAATAATCATTAGTTGTAGCCATGCTTCTGTTTACTTCAAACTAAAGACAACAATTGCTTAACTTCCTGTGCCCCAATCAAGGGAATCCCCCTGCAGCACCCAGATGTGTTGATGTATCTTTTCGGGTATCAGTTTGCTCTCATTTTTCTGCATATTTGTTCCTGCCAACGTCCAGATTTTCTACATAGATTAGAAAAATGGATTTTGAAATAGTTTTTAGCCTGACTGGCTATTTGGTCTCAGCAGTAGTTGTAGCAAAGTTAGTCTTATACCTCTGTCCGCTTCAAAGGCCCTGGCTTGAGAATAGAGTGAAATTTTGTATGTCACAAATGCTGTCAATAACACTGTTTTTAAGAACAGTAAATGCAAAATAAAGCTCAGTTTGTGACGCACAGTGTAGCAAAGTAGACTTTTTTTATATGTAAAGATGTAGTGAAACATGACTGTAAAATCTTCCAGATCAGGCAGAGGAAAGGGGCAGTCTTTTAAAGCTGGCAGTGCCCATTTAGCCTGTTCTTCTCTCTCTCTGTGTCAGGGCCAGCTGGTCTAACAGCACTATAAATAGCTGTCTTTGACCTCCAGAGCCATATCAGGCTCAGAGAAAAAAGTGACAGAGCAAGGATTACTGACAGATGAGCAAGAGAAAGAAAGCCAGTCAATAGAGAAAGAGGGGAGGGACAGAAAGAGACGGAGAGGAGGTGAGACCAGGAGGCAGAGCTCCCCTTTTCCCATAGCGGGGACTGCATGCCGTCTTTGTGGCCAGCTAACTTCTTATTTGGTCAATCGGCAAGCCTGGCCGTCAGTTGGCAGGGATGGGTGATCCAGCGACCCTGGTCGAGTCTGCCACTCCTACCGTCGCCACGGCAATCCCTACGGTGATAGCTGGGGAAATGCAAGGTGAGGAAAGCCTCTGTTCAAGGGCTACTGACTAGAGAGTGGGAAGGACAAAGAAGTGGAGGTCATTGTGAGGTCCTTGTAGTTTTGTCATGTTAGCTCAGGGAGTGCTCTGTCAGTAGAGCATAAACGCGTCCTAAATTAAGACCAAACAATATTGTTTGTACTACACATGTTTTCATCTGTGTACAAATAGTGGTTTTAATAAATCCTTTAGTCCATTTTTAGTTTAATCCATGGTGGGGTAAACACCATACCATATTCTTCCTGCTTCAGCATTTGTGCTGATTTTGACAAATCACTGAGCAGACAGATCTCTGCACTATAAGTGCAGAAACAAAGCTGATATTGACATTCTCAGCTGGTTCTGGTAAGACAACAATTTCTAGACTTTTTTTCCCCCCTCAAACGTGGTACTCCGTATTGAGCTGACAACAACAACAACAATGGATTTTTAATGGTAAATACTTGGAAAATGATTTAAAGTTAAGGCAGTAGGTCTCAAACTATGCATGTTCAGTTTTAGCGAGGCATATTAAAATATACAGTCAATGTGAGTCATTTGAACTATGCTCTTTGAGTGTGTCTGAGTTTGACCTAGCACCATGCAGCGGACTTCAACACCTGTTCATTCTCTCTGACACCATTTTCTCCCATCATGCATTGTGGGATGTCATCGGCACACCCGGAATAGCTTCTTGGATGTGGTTTATTTTTTTGGTTTACATCGTCTCCACTCCTCTATGGTTTTGATTGTGCAGTGTAGTTACTTTTGTCTAAGGTAGTCTTGAGATCCTATAGCCGTAAGAGGTTTGTTAGTTTTAAATGTGTGTTGATTGGCTGATTAGTATTATTGTGTTCCTTATGGATTCCTTAAGGGATGTGATTAAACTGTAAAATTTGCTTCCTGTCCAGTTCTAAATTTGGCAAATACATCCATAAATTGGTAATAAAATCATCCAGCTTCTCAAAGTCCAACCACACAAACAATGTGTATTGTGTGCTGTTGGAGATGGGTTTTCCAATACTAATATTATTTGAATCTACATTGTTTCTTAATTTGAGTGTAAAAGGGAAACGTGTCAAACCCTCAAGTGAACCATACATGATGTACTGTGTTTGGTTGCAGATGGTACTAAGACCCAATCCGCCAACAAGAATGGGAAGAAGTCAGACTCTGGGTCCAGCAGCAGCAGCTTCTTCACCTGGTTCATTGTCCTGGCCCTGCTGGGTGTCTGGACATCTGTAGCCGTGGTCTACTTCGACCTGGTCGACTATCAGGGAGTCCTCGGTGAGTACACAATGTAACACACATACATTTGGCTCAAAGAGTAGCTGGATGTGTTCTTCCTTTCTGCACCTTGCTGGAACAGTGTTGTAGCAGCTAGTTGTGCTTTTGTCTTTGGTCTGTGCTGTCAACTACAACCCTAGAAGAACACTAACGTCAGATCAGCAGCATTACCATCCTGACATGAGTCTACTTCAATCCTCCATCCTTCCTATTCCTCTTACTCCATTCTGTGATCAGCACATGCTTTTAAATACCTAAGAAAATGGGATACAAACCAGCTACCAAAATGGCTGCAATCAAAACAAGTGGAACCAGAAATGCCCCAACAACACACCAGTTAATTAGAGTAAACTGCCAATGTTGCGCTGCTAAGCTTCTTGATTATGTAGCCAGACTTTGTAGTAACCTGAGCATTTAAATGGCATAGCTCGTATACCATCACTTATCTCACTTTTTTATAGGACTGTAAGATAATGCTTTATCTTACAGTCCTATAAAAAATATTGCTCTCACTGGTATTTATATATATATAGATAATATATTATATAAATATATTATATATATTATATATATATGTATATATATTTATATTAATATATATATATATATATATATATATATAAAATATAATAGTCCATCTACTTTACTGTTAAATCAGATGCATGTTTTGACCACACTACTGTCTGTCACTAATCTTTACCCTAATGATTAATGTTGAACACTCTTGTCTGTGTAGTAATCTACTATTAATGTATGAATTATAAATCTGTTCTGTTTTTATTTTTTAATCTTGCAATTGTTCCAATGTGTATGTTTTGTGTTTGCATGCAGACAAGGCTAAGGGCTTACAAATTAACCTGTCTGAGGCCTTGCAAGGTAAAAAAAATCTCAAAGCATATTTCTCTTACATCCTGTATTAACATCAGTGATTGTTGTCTTGGGTCATATCGTTTTTCCTCGCTCGCTTACACTTTTTTCAAATTCCTAAACCTAAAAGGATTGACCCTTCCCAAGTCCCACCCCTTTTCTCTGTGTTCCAATAATAGTTGAGAGTGCTAGGCTAATCTATGTTAAAAAGACAACCACATTTTGAATATAGTTTAAAAATAAAATGGTAGCTAACTAACGATTGATGTATATATTTTATTTATTTATTTATTTATTTATTTATTTTTAAACCTTGCTAGGTGCCTAGTGTTTTGCTAACATTAGCTTTCAGATATAACTAGCTAGCTAATTATTCATGTATATTTGCTAGCTTGTTAGCTAGTGTTTTGCTAGCTAATTTATGATTCACTATACACACTGTATGCTGGTTTTATCATTTAACCATCTTCACATTGGGGTGTTTTTCCAACATAGTAGCACATAGCATTTTGATTTTGTACAAAATATTTCCTCAGCTGGTTTGGATCCAGGGCTTCTGTCTAACCTAATGTCCATCACGTCCTCTGTGGGCCAGTTACTCTGTAACTGGTATAACTGTTAGACACAAATCCAGCAGCTTTGATTCTACCATCCTAAACATAGCTCGAGTTAATAACAGAAACATTGCTAACAATTTATTTTTATTTTTATTAAATATCACTAAAACAAACTATGGCCCCATCCCACTGTGTACATTTGTTTTTTTTTTTTATTTAACAGTTAAACCAACTTTATAATGAAAGACAGAGGCTATTAAGGGCCAGTCTCACGGAAGCTTGGTGCATTTATTTGTGTGTGTGTGTGTGTGTGTGTGTGTGTGTGTGTGTCTGTCTGTGTTGAACGATGCATGTAAATGTACAGTGATTATTGTGTCTTTTGTAGTTCCTGTGTGAGAACAAACAAGTCTTCATGTGTGTTCTGTTGCTGCTGTAGGTAAACTGGTGGCATACGATACAGATGGCGATGGTGATTTTGATGTCGAGGATGCTAAAGTACTCCTAGGCAAGTTGATTTACCTGTAATTTACAACTAATGTTAGTGGTTACTATCAGTGTCTTGCAGAAATCGAAACAAAAGGGAACCGATTTGTCTCCAGCTGACATCTGATTATTATTATTATTATTATTATTATTATTATTATTATTATTATTAGTGACAACATACATGGTTTCACAAAATCATGATACAACCATAGCTGATTTATTGTGGGTTTGAATCTGCAGGCCACTGATGGTGTGTTTTGTGTTAATTAAATTAAATGGCAATATGGGTTTCTTTTGCATGACTGACAATTGTATAGCTGACCCTAGAGACAGTTTTACCAATGAAAACAGTAACAAGGGTCAACCAGTCCGTCCTTTCTGCAGTGAATTTATGTTCTGGAGCGAGAACTCCACAAAGGGTATTCCTCAAGGGCAGGCAGGAGTGGGCTGGAAGGTACACAAAATGCACATTTCACTTAAAAGACCCATTTTAACTGGTTTGTCATCCAAAATAAATCATGTCTCTTGGACTGTCCCCTAATTAAGAATATTACAGTTTTAATTGGTATAAGATCCCAAAGATCCCTAAAGGTTAGGTCCCAACTTAAGAGGGTAGGTGCTCTGTAGTACGGCTATAACGAACCACTGAGGTTATTAAAGGATGGAATGAATGAGGTTCATCATGATAAAGGGTTGATTCAGAGGTAAATTAAGGCAACTTTAAAGCAACTATTGTGTTTAGTTGCCTTACTGAGGTTAATTGCAACTCATACACACACAGCACTCCATCGATTTCATATGAACCTTTTCCGTTTTTGGTATTGCTGGCATGATGTTGTAGCAGTATAGTTTTTGGAATATTTCTCTTCTACGTGAAGCTCAAAGCATTCAAGACAGCTGGGGGCCTGATAAGAAACGTTGTACTTCCCGGATGTCTTCAGTGCTGTTACTTATTCCCCATGTGATGTCTGCTGCATGTTGCATGGTTTTATACAAGACCAGCTTCTTATTTATTTAACTCCCCAAGTTTACTGAATGGTGTACACTAGTTTTAACACATTGGAACACAGCTATACGCATTTCCAACAGAAGAGGTGAAATTTAGAACTTGCATTGAGAAGGTGCTCTGCATAGAATCTCCAAGAACCTGAACATTTGTTTCTGTATCACTTAGTATTTTATAAATCAGTTATCTGGCTCTAAAATCAGACAGGCATGGGAATCACAACTTGTATTCATTCACATGGAGGCTAGTGCCATGTCTGAATATTGTACTATATGTAAATTAACACCCACCTTTTTTCCTCAATGTTCAATATCTTCAAAACTATTTAGCTCTTTAGAAGCATTTAGGACATCACACAGATGTCTTTGCTCGAATTGTCTCGTTCTGAAGTACTCCTGCATGACAGTCATCTGCGCTGTTCTATCATTTATTTTGCTGAAGCTTGAGGGAGTCGGATCTGTCACCAGAGTTCATCCATCTACAGAAAGGCCTAGCCCACCTTCAGCCTTTCTATCCCACTATCAATGCCTCATCCATGTCTATGTAACCATCCCTACGCAAATTAGCTTTAACAAATTGTTAGTTGAATTTTCTGTTTATCCCCCCGCATTATAGCGCATGCTCCCATGCATATGCTGTGCTTCTCTCGCCCTTCATTATGATCCTTTTTAATCTCCCCTGTTGTGTTCCCTTCTTTTTCACTTTCTTATTATGTGTGTTCTTTAGCTTTAATTGGCTTGAAAAGAACAATATTAGATCTATGAGGAGCTCCTATCTGTATTAAAACACACTAATGGATGATAAGAATTTAACTAAATTTAGCTCTTCAGTATTTTTCAACTCTAAATCTTTAACTCTACTCTCTGCTGACAAATGGTGTGAGTTTTTACCAGCATGTTGCATGTGTCCGCCCACAGTTAAGATGGTGTAGGGTTTTCATTGTCTATGATTGTGGCTGTGATTTTTAAAACAATAACATTTGTCTTTTTAAACAAAGATTTATACTATGTAGTTTATCCCAGAACATCATAATTAATTTTTGACACAGTAGGTATCATAATACATGCACTCCAATACCAAACTCTACTACATAGGAGATTTAAACAGCACTACTGTTATGTTTTGGATGTGTAGGGGAGCATAAACAACATACAAACATCTCAAATGGAAAACCAGTGCAACTGTGCGCATATTATGCGGCTGCCAGCTTTTCTAATGCAAACAGTTTAATAGAAACCAAACCTCAGTTTTCCTCTCATCTGTCTTAACTCTTGTCTATGATTCTAAGGCTGTCTCCACTTGATAGGCAGCTCTCTGATGTTTGGGCACAGAGAGCTCGGCTCAATATCATTGCTCTGATATCATATGATTTTTAATAAACAAGAACTATAAATAGTTATTAAAATCATATGATTATACTTGAGCCACCATGACCGATTTATAAAGGACGATGGCTCAAGTTGGCACAAAGTGATTTTTGTTGGTGATCTAGTGTAGACAGCCCGACTCCAGCTGCTAATGATAAAGCCTGAGTAGGTCCCTCGCTGCCTAACCTACGCTTAAAACTTCTCTTACCTTCTCCTCTTGTTTCTTTCCCTCCTTCTCTTTCTTCCTCTGCTCTTTCATTACATCTTTTTTTTCTCCATTTGATTCCACCTTTATTTCTTCCTTTCTTGTTTCTGAGTTTTTTCCACCCCCTTTCCCAACACCGTTCCATTTCCATCACTTCCACACGTTGTGCTCCCAAACTTCCCCTCCATCCACCCCTGCCTCCATACCCCCCTCCCCCTCTTGTTTGCGTAGGCCTGACCAGTGAGGGCGATGGTCAGGGTGAATCCGAGGTTCTGGATTGGTTAGAAGAAGTGGAGGAGGGCGGCTCTGATTGGTTAAACGGTTTCTTCACTTTCCTGTACGGTCTGATAAACCCCCTGGAGTCCCTGGAGGAGGAGGAGGAGGAGCACAGTACCTCAGGAGGAGCTGTGGAGGCAATGGAGGACGAAGAGGACGAGGATGACGAAAGGGTCAGAAGAAGAGGCGCGAAAGATGATGGAAATCAGGGGCAGAAGATCGTCATAGTCGGCCTCCATAACCAATAGCCTCAGACCAACTGCAACAACCCAATTCTGCTCTAATGCAGTTGCTTTTAACAGAAGGGCCTCGACATCCAACAGACCAAGCTACAGTGTCTGGAAACCTGTTCCTACAGTATTTTCTCTGCTTGCTTTGGCAGGTTATGGCAACTTAACCCAGCCAGTAGCTTTGGATAAACATGATGTGGGCCCCAACCATCCCAGGTTTCACCCACTGGAATCCCCAAATACTGTCAGATTTGACAAACAGGCTTCATTGTTGTATCAGAAGAATCTTGAGAGAGTGAAATACTTTTGAAAGAGTTTTCTATGATGTCGATCCATACATTAGGGGTGTAACGGTACACAAAATCCATGGTTCGGTATGTACATTGGTTTTAGGGTTGGGATCAGTACGTTTTCGATACAGCAATGAAAACAATATTGTCTTATTTTGAAAAATGTTCATTTTTGTTTGCTCATTGACCATAATTCTTACTGTAACAGTTGAGGCACTACTTGTCCTTATCCTATCCACAAATTGTTGTCCACTTTTGCTGTAACCAACCGGGAAACAGTAGTGCTCCCATACAGTGGATCTAAATGTTATAGAAGATCCTTCAGCTCTGGTCTCTCATTTGTTTGCCATTTGGATGGCAGCAACACTACATGAGCTTGACTTACTTGGCTTACTAACTTTGTTAATTGGGCTAAGCTGACTAGCATGCTTCAGCTGATAGGTGCACTGCCAAAACTGTCTGGGTAAAACGCTTCCTCTTAAATATCTGTTTTTGTGTATGAGTAGTAGACATAGACTGTTTTGAAAGGGCATACTGAACCAAGGCAGTTGCATACCAAACCCAATGAATAGAGGTACGGTCACACCCCTAATATACATGATACTCAGGAAGACTTTAAGAAATCCTCTTAAACATTTTTTAAAAATCTTTTCAAATCTTTATTTTTGGCACAAACCTGTTGCCCAGCAACACTAAATAACACAAAATGCGAGGCAATTTGCACTTGGACAGCTACTTGTCTCTCCCTTTCTGACATTTTGTCTTTTATTATTGCGGCATGCCATAAAAACTGATCTACAACATATTTACTCTGGACTCTTGGACTATAGCACGAATTTGTACTTTTTAAAACCTCTGTCAAATTAAGGATTTGTTTTTTTTTGTCTTGGTCTGCATTTCTACCTGATACTAACATGCAACCTATATCTGGAAAAGAAAAGAAAAGAAAACAAGACTCTACAGATCCGCGTGATTCCCAAATTTATTATTTATGATCCAATGCATACTATATGTGTTGACAAAGTGTGAAAATTTCTTTGTATGCAAACACCCAATTTAATGTAAACAGGGCTGCAACTCTACGTTTATTATGTTAGATTTAGGGTACATCTGGACCATTTACAACAAGGCTACTGAAAAGTAGCATACAGATTCCTTCAGCTGTCTCAGTCTGTAATGTGGCCCTTACATTGCACACCATAGCAGTCCTTTTGAGGAATTACCACTTTGCTTTCAAGTCTGCCTATTTAATTTGCATATTATCAGACCACATCAACACACCAGACTTGACGTGTGAAAGTCCTGTGATCAGATGTCATTATCCAGGTAATGTATCTGGATACATGCTGCTTGTTAATACCAGGTGGAAATGGGGTCTTCAAACTATAGGATTGCCTTTTTTAATTAATGAATATATATTGAGCCAAGTTGATGCTTCCCATCCTTCAGGTTCTTGTGTATTCTGCAAAAATCAAGCTTCATATTGTTTGTTGGTTGATGTATGCCATCCCTCTGCTCAACAACAGCTTTGATCACCATCTTTTCCATTCTCCTCATTTCCCTTTAAACATAATACAAATGTCTTACACACAACAGTAGTTGTCTAAAATGAAGCCTAAAACCCAATATTGTGCATTGTGACTATGCACAGGTTTTGTTGCCATTCCAGTTTGTGATAGGAGTGCACTGCAGTAGAAAGGCGTGATCAGAGGGCTGACACAAGTGATGCAGAGGAGAGGCATGATTGATTCATTATGCTTGAACCAACTTATCACTGCTACAAGCTTAGACAGCTCAAACTAACTGCAGGTGTATTGTCTTGTGAATGTGATCAGGGTGTGTGTTTCTGTGTCAACGGGTTTAGCTGTTATGAATGCATGGATGACAGATGACTTAGAAACAGGCTCTTCCTGCTCTGGGGTGGAGTGACTCCAGCTTTGGCTTTTCAGAAGAATAAATCTGTAGGATACCTTTTTGAAGCACAAAAACACTGAAAAATAGAGCATGTGCATAACTCAATAGCTATTTTAACTTCAATAACTGGTGACTTTCAGGCCATTTACAGTCAGCTTGGAAATCACTCATACACCTATTATTAGGCTCATTTGGTATGTTTACATTTTTCTTGTTTCATGTGTGTATAAATCAGCTAAGCAGAGTGGAGTACACGGTGAGAGGAAAAGAAGCTGACACAGAGGTACCACATATCTGTCTGCTGAGCTCACTGGGTTACTGGGACAGAGCAGAGCATTCACTCTTCCTGCCTCAGTTTCAGTCACTGCTTACATTCAGACCAGTGTCCTCCCATTCTCCCACAGTCAGGTTAAAAAGCAGCTCTCACACTGAACTGTTTGGGACCATTATTGGACTGTAATTCTACTAATCGTTTTCCTCAACCATTGCTGTAGTAGTACAAATAATAGATTTTGCGAGAATGAGTGGACCCCAGCAGTATTTCCTACATATGGTGCTAGTTTCAGGAAAGACTTCTTTTTGACTAGTCATCTTTACTCTGGCTAACTAGTATCAGGGATAATACTTACTACTTTGTGTATTCCCAGTTCAACCAGAACTCCCAGTGCCTAGGTTCAGGAGGAGAGAGAGGAAAAAAGCTGGAACCAGAGGCACTAAGTATCTGGCAGGAATGAAAGCAGCATCTCTAGGCTTAGGTGGGCTGCTGGCTTTGGACACTTAGTATGAACCATAGTTTGTGTTACTTCGTACACTGTGATGTGGTGGTGAACTCAACAGTGGATAAACATTGACTTTGTTGGTGATCTTCATAAGCACATAGACATAGTGTGTGTATACGTAATAGTAGTAAGTAATTTAATCATCAAATACTTCAGTAATCATTTGAAACAACAAATAACTTTTCACCACTACATTCACAAAGTGTACCATTTTGCATCTTGCAAAATAGAATAGGTGTCCTGCTTTGGTGAAAGTGGAGCTCTACAGTTTCTCCACTAGGCTGCACTGCACATGTTAATGTGTCACATTCCGAATCTCTCTTTCAATCCTCTATTGGTACTAATATATAAACCTTTTTTACACTGAGTACAGGTATGAATGACTACATTCTGTTAATGCAAGCTTGTCCATTGTCCTGCTATTTTGCAGTTCTGGCTCACTGTCATGGCCTACTGGGACACTTGATGGAACTGAGCCAAAAATGTGTTTCCCAGGTTCTTCAGGACAAGTCAAAATGTCTGCTGTTGCCAGGCTAAAGTCAGATTTTGCAAAGCTGAACTTGAGTTGCGTCTCTCATTCATGTATAGCCAAGTTGAGTTGTATAGCAACCGTGTGCTTCTGCTACGGAAAGTTTATTGTGGTTTGCTTCAGCTTGTGGCGGAGATTAGCGTCATGTAGCATTTCCAGACTTCATAGTTTGGAGCTGTGTAATGGATGGCTTGTGCATGAACTGCAACTGATATCGGACAGTAGGAATGATAAATTCATGGCGTGTAAAAGACAAAAGCATTATATTAACACACACAGAGGAGTCCAGTGTTGTAACTTTTGTCTTGTTTGTGTGCGACATCAGATGAAAACCCTGCAGATGCAGCCAGGAGAGGAGCTAAGAAAGGTATAGTCATGCAGCCATTTGCATAAAGCTGTGCTGTTAGTGTGGGCTAGACTAACAGATGACAACTCATTGTGTTCTTGGATCCAAACTGAGTGTGTTCATTTGCAGTGATGAATTAGTTTTTTGCCTTAATTCTGTGTTTGTGCTTGATAAGTAAAACCTGAGTAGTGTACTAGAGTACCTTCATTTAAGTACATTTTGAACAAACTGGTGTGAATACTGTTAATTACTGTTTTAAACTGACCTATAACATACCAGTGGTCTGTAAAGTCTACCCATGTAGATGGCATGGAATTGCTGTGAATAGATATGGCCCTGGTTCATCCACATGTCTGCCTGATGTGTGTTGACGTCTAATAACAGAGTGAGTTTGAGCATGGCGTCCGTCCTGTAAAAACTCATTTTACAAGTGGTGAAACGGCAAAATGTTGCTCATCCACCCCAGAAACGTCTCCAACCAAGGATGTGGGCTGGAAGCTGCGGGAGGCTCTAAAGCAGCAGCTAGCCATCATCCATGAACGTGTGGAGGCCAAGAAGCTCGCCAAGCTGGCCCTGGCTGAGGTCAGAGAGCTCCTGGCCAAAGAGGAGGAGGAGAAGGAGCTGGAACTGGGGAGGAAGGAAATAACAGCCAGAGTGAAGGAAAGAGTGGCCACTAGGCTTAAAGAGGAGGAGGAGAAGATGGAAAAAGAAGAGATGGAGAAGGCTCTGGAGAAATTAAGGAAGGAAAAAGCAAAACAACCGGATGAGGGCAAGGAAGATGGCAAAGAGAAGGAAGGGGAGAAGAAATCAAAGAAAGGAGGGGAGAAAGAGGACAAATTTGAGAAAAAGGTAGAAGAGGAGGGAAAGAAGGTGCAGGAAGAAGACAAGGGGAGAGGGAAAGACTCTGCCAAAGAAAAAAGAAAGAAATCTGAAAGAAGCAGGAAGTGAAGGCAGTGAATCTAAGGTTTAAGAGAAATATTTTCACCCCATAGGAAGCCAGTTTTAGCAATTTTCAATATTAGGACGGGAAATCAGACGTCATTATGGCACTGACCAAAATGTGTCAAACACCATCAAGTGCTAAAAGCTGGGATCAAATTTCGGGTTAGATTCATAATCTTGTTTCTCTGATTTTACTTTAATTCCTGATTTAAATCCAAGCTTTTCCAATTTTCAACAGTTCTTGTATGGCTGTGTGTTTCGACAGCATTAAACAGAATAGCTGAAGGTGTCTTTTGCCAAATGAAGTTAAATAGGAATTTGTAGAAAAACACTTTTTATATGTCTCTGTAGAAAAATATATTTTTGGTATCTGCACCAAAACTCAGGTATCTTATTGGCGCTATGATGTAAAGATTTCCAGCCTAATGATTTTGCACCTATTTGGCCTTTGTATAGTTGGACTGGCCACCAAGATTGTCCTCAGTCATAGTGCACATGTCAGCTAACTGATTACCTACTGAATATCATTTCACTAAAGTAAAACTAAAATAATGTGCAGTTGAGGCTTTTAACCATCCAATTTAAAAAGAGGCATAACAATGGAAGAAATGCTCTGCTGAAAAGGCTAAAGGAAAACAACTTTTTCCAGCCAGACTGGCTTGTTCTGTTTGCTAAATTTGTATTATGTTGTAAATACCTTTGGCTTCTTGAGTGAGCTAGCTACTTATTTAAAAGTAAAACCCAGGTCCCACAGTGAGTGGACACCAGCTTAGTCACTGCAGCAAAAGTGTTGCGCTGGAAATTTGCTAATGACACTGGTGTAGATGTTGCAGCCAGCCCTTTTCGGTCTTTGGATGAGGAAAGACTGCTATAACTGGGAAGGATGGGAGTAATGGAAAAGTGTTTATCAAGAGTGATGTACTGTTCGTGATAATGATTTGACTAGATTGAAAACATTAGCCTAACTAACCATCAATTTCTCTATGAAATGTAGGTTTTATTAAATTAATCATACATGTGTTATTTTCTTTTGTGAATAAAGTTTCTAGATCCATGTTCAGTGCGTCTTTAATAACATGTGAAAGCCTGTCAGGCTGTCCTCCACCAGAGTGCGTGTGTTAGGAAGAAGTACAGAAATGGAAATCATACTGTGAATCTTTATTACCTTAGCCCAACATCCAGCTTAGACCTACACTTTTTTTTTTTTTTAAAAGTTACCTGTCTTGGGATAACACACAACTTTTAAACACACTACATGAATGATGATAAACAAAATGACATGTCAAAAATATGTGTTAAAATGTACCTTAAGTTTTGTCAAACTATAATATGAAAGTCAGCAAAAGAAAACCCATGCCTTTTTTAATATGGTTCCATAGGAAGTATTGATTTATGTGAACGTTACCAATGTTATATGATGTCCTCATTTGCC